GCCCCTCCCCTTTAGATTTAAATGGAATAAAAACCTCTTCAAGTAAAGGAAAATTAACAAAATTAGACAACAGGAGATTCTTACTAAAAGAATATGAAAGGGTTTTCTTTGAGCAGAAGAAGAATAATGCTGTGCAGAAGGTCAGAGATTCAAGAAGAAAGGTAAAGAAAGAAACATGCAGGGGTGCCTGGGTGGCTCAGTAACAAGTAAAAGGTGTAACCATCAGAAAAATAAAGGGGGTGGAATGAAATGGTATAAAAAAATCTTCCCAAAAAAGGCAAAAAATGAGATTTTAAAAAGGAAAGGATGTACAAATAGAATGGTAAATAACAATATGTAGAAATAAACACATATATTATAATGATATTAGATGTAAATAGAATAAACATTGAAATTTAAAGACCATAATCTTTAGGTTAAAAAAAAATACTGCTCCTCCAAAGAGCTGAACATAAAAGAATTCAGAGAGCTTGAAATAAAAAGATGGAAATAGATATGCAAACACTAATCAAAAGACCCCTCATAAAAGAAAGCTGCCATGATTACACTCACAACCAAAAGGTACAATTATTATAAAGAAGAATATTTTAAAATGAGAGCATCATCATTGAGCACGGTAGAATTGAACTAGAAATCAAAATCATAAGTAACAGCAAAACCTCCATATGTGTGGACATTAAGTCATGAACTTGAGTAAATTGTGGCTTAAAATAGAAATAATAGTAGAAATTAGAAACTTTTGATTTGAATGATAATTAAAATATTACTTATCACAACTTTCAGGATACATCTAAATTAATGTAGAGAAGGAAATTAAAAGTATTAAAATCATATGTTAGAAAAATGCTGCAAGTCCGTGACAAGGAACACAGTTAAGTAATTTTGGAAAAGGAGCAACACATTAAATGCAAGGAAAATAGTGGAAGGAAATATAAATTTACTACCAGATATTAAAGAAAACATAAAATTAGTAATTAGAGAAATTAGAGAAAATATAAAATAGAATATCAGTATCAAGAGAGTCAAGGTTTTTTAAAACTTTTTTAAAGATGATTTATTTTAGAGAGTGCACACATGGATGGGGGGAGGGGCAGAGGGAGAGAGAGAATTTCAAACTCCATGCTGAGCACGGAGATGGATTCGGGGCTCAATCTCACCACCCTGAAATCATGACCCAGGCCAAAGTCAAGAGTGAGATACTTGGGCACCTGGGTGGCTCAGTGGGTTAAAACCTCTGCCTTCGGCTCAGGTCATGATCCCAGGGTCCTGGAATAGGACCCGCATCGGGCTCTCTGCTCAGCACGGAGTCTGCTTGCCCCCCTTCTCTCTCTGCCTGCCTCTCTGCCTACTTGTGATCTCTGTCTGTCAAATAAATAAATAAAAATCTAAAAAAAAAAAAAAAAGAGTCAGATACTTAACTGACTGAGCCACCCAGGTGCCCTGAAAGTTGTTTTTCAAAGGACAAAGAAGTTGATTAAATCTTTAGCATGATAGATTAAAAAGAGAACAAAAGCAAAAATAGTATCAGTCAGGAATGAAGAACGGAATATCATGCCAGATCCTAAAGACACTGTGATATTATAGAAAGATATTATGAGCAACTTCATAAAATATCACATGAAATTCCTAGAAAAAATAACTGATGCAAGGAGAATTAAAGTCTAGGAAGGTACCCAACTGTAAAAGAATTCCACAGGGCACCCAGGTGGCTCAGCTGGTCCAGCATCAGACTCTTGATTTCTGGGTCATGAGATTATGCCCCACACTGGGCTCCATGCTGGGTGTGGAGACTGCTTAAGATTCTTTCTCTCCTTCTTCCCTCTGCCCCTCCCCTGCTGCTCACTCTCTCGGAAAAAAAAAAAAAAAAAAAAAAGATGTTAAAATTAAAACTTTTCTATATGTATCTATGACAAATTGTGAAATACTACAGAATTTTTAAGGAAGACATTATGACCACACTACAAAATTCTCCCAGGGAATAGGGGAAAAAAAGATAATCACTTCCCAATTCATTCCATAGATAGAGCGTAACTCTGATGCAAATCCTTATAGAAAACATTATAAGAAAAAAATTCATATGGATGCAAAATATTATCAAAGTAAATATGACAATATTAAAAGTGATATTATGTCATCATCAAGTGTTTTCATTCCAGGAATGCAATGATTGTTCAACATTAGAAAAAGCAAACAATGTAATTTACCACAGTATCCATGGGCAAGTTACTTCATCTTTCAAAAACTAAATGTCCTTATTTAAAATTTCAATTTCCTCATCTATAAAATCAGGAGCATGAAAATACAAATAACATACGGTTTTTATGAGGATTAAATAATTAATGCATATAGCGCTTAGCACATGGCACACAGTAAGTGCTCAACAAGTCTATTATCAATGCCTTTAAAAATGATAAAAATGAAAGAAACAACATTTATATTAAATAATTTAGCTGACTAAAATCTCACATATGCAACTCTTACTATGTCAAAAAAAAAAAAAATCACCCAAAACTTAGAGGTTTAACACAACTATTTTTTTTAGGCCACAGTTAGGTCAACAATTTAAGGTAGACACAGCAGAACGGTTCCTCTGGTCTTAGCTGGGCTCATTCATGTTCCTGTAGTCAGGAACTGGGTACTTTTTGGCTGGGGTGAGGAGGGGGTAGTGGATCAACTAGGATGGCTTGTCTCCGTGTCATATTGTCTCTCATCTTCCAACTGGGTAACTTGGGTTTGTTCCCATGACAGTTACAGTGTTCCAAGAGAAAAAGAAAAGGCAGGCCCCATTCCATAAGCATTTTTAAAATCTCCATTTGGGAGCGTCTGGGTGACCCAGTCTTTAAGCATCTGCCTTTGGCTCAGATCATGTTCCCAGGGTCCTGGGCTTGAGCCCTACATTTGGCTCCCTGCTAGGCAGGGATTCTGCTTCTTCCTCTGCCTCTGCCCCTATCCCCAACACACACTGGCTCTCTCTCTCTCTCTCTCACACACACACACACACACACACACACTTTCTCTCTCTCTCTCTCTCTCTCTCAAATAAATAAGTAAAATTTTAAAAATAAATAAATAATAAAAAAATAATAAAATCTCCACTTGTGTAACATTGGTATTGCCTTACTGTCCGAATCAAGTCATGTGGTCAAGTCAAGTCTTTGAATATCGAAGGAATCATGCCAAGGATGTGAATATAGGGAGTCTTAAATAAACTGGGGACAATTACTCTAATAATGTACCAAAAGTTTCTAGACAATAATTCATTATTTTAAAAAGATATAAGGAAATGTATACATGATTTTACCCAAAACAAATTATCCACCTATTAAAATTCAGTAAGAGGGCGCCTGGGTGGCTCAGTGGGTTAAGCTGCTGCCTTCGGCTCAGGTCATGATCTCAGGGTCCTGGGATCGAGCCCCGCATCGGGCTTTCTGCTCAGCAGGGAGCCTGCTTCCTCCTCTCTCTCTCTGCCTGCCTCTCTGCCTGCTTGTGATCTCTCTCTGTCAAATAAATAAATAAAATCTTAAAAAAAAAATTCAATAAGAAAAATTTTCTCCCACAAACCATAAGAGACTCTTAATCTCACAAAATAAACTGAGGGTTGCCGTGGTTGGGTTATGGACATTGGGGAGGGTATGTGCTAAGGTGAGGGCTGTGAAGTGTGTAAACCTGGAGATTCACAGACTTGTACCCCTGGGGGGGAAAAAAATATATGTTTATAAAAAATAAAATTAAAAAAAATATTAGAAGTCTAATGTTTTTAGATAGTCCTCCATAAAGATTTTTACTCCAAGTCAGATTTATTGTTGAAAAACAAGAGGCATCTGGGTGGCTCCATTGAGTGACTGCCTTCGGCTCAGGTCATGATCCTGGAGTCCTAGGATCTAGACCCACATCGGGCTCCCAGCTCCATGGGGACTCTGCTTCTCCCTCTGACCTTCTCCCTGCTCATGCTCTCTCTCACTCTCTCTCTAAGTAAATAAAATCTAAAAAAAAAAAAAAAAATTTGTTAAAAAAAAAGAAAAAGAAAAAAGAAAAACAAGGAGTTTAAGGTTTTGTTTCCTACTAAGAATCTGGAATGTAGGTATTCTGTGTTGCAATGATGTCCCCCCCATATGCTTTGACAACCCATTAGGCACAGTTAATTCATTATTTGCTCTTCTTACTTGTTAACATGAATTCACATTTCTAATTATTATTAGAAAACAGGATATTAAGAGTGTTAGGATAATTGCACATGTGAAAGCAAGAAAAAACCAGAAACTTCAGTGACAGGAAAAAAGTGTGCTTTAGGGTAACAAACAAATTAACCTAGCTCAAAATAAGACATAGAAAAGGAAAATAAATGGTGGGAGTTTAAAAATATCATAGGATACCATATAGATAAAGCATTCTGGAAAATCAAATTTGCATTTCATGAAGAATGGATAGCTAATGTCATAATGATTTTCTTTGAATGAGAAGAAAAATTATCTATAGCCATTCAACTAGAACAAGAAAAACCAAGAACTTGTAAAATACATATTGAACTTTAAAGAAAAAGAGTAGTGTTAGTGAATCTAGATTTGTGATGTGTATTATTGAATGCTGGAAGGAAAAACTTACAAGCAAGATAACTAAATAATTTACCATCCAAACTGAGACACTTTTGAGAGTGAATTAATTCACTACTAATAAGAAACTTGGAAAATTTAGGCATAGACCCAGGCTAACCTGGGCAAACTGGAATGTGTGGTTAGCATACTTAAAATGTCTCTTAGGCACAAACCCAAAGCAAAACGATTATTCTTCCCCAAAATCACCTCCTCTCTTCAAGCTTCTTGGTCAGAAGATTGCCAACCCTCTTATCTTTAACTAAACAGAGATCAATATTAAATTTTTAAAGCAGTGTTCTCAGCTGAGTCACTGATACTGAATATGGACATTCTCTTCTCCTTGCAGAGAAAGGACAAACACTTTCTGATAATGTAAGTACCAATTTATTGTCTTCTCCTTTATCTTACCTGAGCTATATATATGCCATTATGGATTCGCCCATCTTTCTCATGATCTTTTGTTTTCTGTAATATTTGCCATATTTTGTTTCTAAATCCATCCTGCTCATCATCTCCCCGAAGTTCCCATAACATTTTCACCAAGTTATATATTAAGCTGTAGTATCCAATCCATGTCACTTGATCACCTGTTGAAAAAGTATATTCTTTGGGAAAACATTGTTTTATTCATCTTAGAAAAACACAGTTTTGTGAAAAAGAAAAAACTGGATTTTGCTAATATTTTAAAGCCTGAAATTCTGAGCTTTGGAATTTGTTTTACTCTTTACAGCACTTATTCCTTTAATTTTAAAAGATCATAGATTATTTAACAATTTCCAGCCATAAGAAAAGATCTGCACCTAACTAATATCATTCCTCAAAAATTTAAAGTTGGACAGGTAAACCAGAAACTATGTATAAAAAAAAAAAAACAAACTTGGGATTCAAGGAAAGAGGCATTTGTTCAAGGCAATAGGAACACTTAGACCACCATGGTGAATTTTTACAATGAGCTAGAGAACATGAGAAAAATCACTGCCTTTTATAAAAATGACCAAGCTCAATGAAACATTTGAACCAAGAGAAAGCCTTGAAAATAATGTGAAAAGCAGACATAATTGCTAATATAATTAAAGGCTGCAAGATTTTTTTTTAATAGTAGAGACATAAATCAACTAAAATAGAGGAAAGGGAACAATGGATCCAGAAGAGATTTTTAAAAGTCTAAAACACTCCTTCTAAGATGTATTACAATTAGTAATTTATATAAATTATCAAGGTCCACTTCTAAATTATACTTCTCCCATAAAGAAAGGAGGAAGACGTCTCTCTTTACCTTAATTATTTCTTACTTCTTACCTAGGTGGTATATTGCTATGCAATACTATTCAGGAGAAGAGAATTCTTTTTTTTTTTTTAAGATTTTTTTTTATCTGGGGCACCTGGGTGGCTCAGTCATTAAGTGGCTGCCTTCGGCTCAGATCATGATCCCAGGGTTCTGGGATCAAACCCAGCATTGGGCTCCCTGCTCGGCGGGAAGCCTACTTCTCCCTCTCCCACTCCACCTGTTTGGGTTCCCTCTCTCACTGTCTCTCTCTCTCTGTCAAATAAATAAATTAAATCTTTTAAAAAGATTTTATTTATTTGAGGGAGAAAGAATGAGAGCACGAGTCGGGGAAAGGGGGTTAAAGAAGAGAGAGAGAAACAGATTCCCCACTGAGCAGGGTACCTGATACAGGGCTCCATCCCAGAACCCTGGGATCATGACCTGAGCCAAAGGCAGCCACTTAACCAACTGAGCCACCCAGGCACCCCCAGGAAAAGAGAATTCTAATTTAGGTAGTGATGGGATAAATTTGGAGAATAAAATAATACAGCAAGTTTCAAAGAGTATATGAACTAAAGTTAGCCAAAGAGCAACATAAGAATAACAATTATATGTGAAGCAGATTAAAAAAAAAAAAAAAGAAAAGGAAGAGAAGATTCAGGAAGGGAAATAGAAGGGTTTCAGAGTCAATTAAATTCTGTATTGTACTGTCCCCTAAATCCTGATGATAGTCTGCATGACACTGGAACTCATCAGTGCTCGTCTTGAGTAAGGACGTACAATATGAAGTAAGTACAGTATGAAAAAGTCAAAATCCTTAACATTTCCTAATTCAATACAGATTTTTATAATCCACACTAGTAATAACAATAATTATTATTATAACTGGAAAGCTTTTGGCATTCCTACTACTATGTGCCCTTATTCTAGTCCTCACTACAATCCTGCTATGAAAACCATATTATACTTAGCATAATAGATAGAACATATGACCTTCAACTTGGTTGAAAGTCCTCTTTCAGTTGATGAGTGACCTAGCCAGGTGAAGGTGAGTCTTATCTTATTCCATGCAGCACAACCTTTCTAATTCATATAAGTGCTTTTCCTTCCTTTTATTCCATTCATAAGAAAGGAAGAGACTAGAAGGTAGAAAGAGGCAGAAGTGAAAGTATGTGCACATCTTAGAAGTGGGAGGAGGATGGCAAATATCCGCTTCCAAACTTAAGGCATCTTTCATCATTTGTATTGCAAATACAAGGCTATAGTTAAGCAGCCAATTCTTTTGAAAATGTAATTTTCCTCCACAAAAAATTTGCAAGTTAAAATTAGTGTGCTGCAGTATTTGAAATTATATGTATGAATTGATGTAAGCAAGATGATAGAATAGGAAGTCCCCAGCCCTCATTCCCTCATAGAAACAATTTGGCAGTCATCCATAAACAAAAGTACCTTTTTCAGGATCTTAGATCCAGGTAAGAGATTGTAAAACACCAGTGGAACCCAAGAGTGAGCAGGCAGTACCACACTCAAGTGGCGCACCTGTTGGCATGTATGTGATGCCAGCCGTGGACCTACTGTGAACTCAGCTCTAGCCCTATTTATCCATAGTCTTATCCACTAAAGGACCCAGGAGAAACCATGTCCGTTGGTGCCCCCAGTAACAGGCCCACTGTCTGTGGGCCCTGAAACAGCTCTGTGATCTGGCTTCAGCTTCACTCTCCTGTGGTCCAGAGGTGCCTCTTCCCACCCAGGAACCCACCCATGGACCTGGCAGGAGTGTGCTCAGGGAAGTGACATCCACTTGCACCCCAGCTAACAGGCCTAATATTTGTAGATGCAGAGATGGTTTCATAACCAGGCTTCTGTCCTGCTCAACCATGGTCCTGGAGGTGGTCCCATCTGCTTTGGGACATGTGACAGAAATTGTGCCTACTCATTCCTTTGGCAATGGACCTACTGACTCCCAGTAGAGAGGTAGCTGTAAGAAGCCAGAAAGCAGAGGATGATAGCAAGGGTCTTAAACTTAGCTGAGTTCATATTAGAAATGGATAAGGGGTACCTGGCTGACTCAGTTGGTGGAGCATGCAATTCTTTATCTTGGGGTTGTGAATTCAAGCCCCATGATGGGTATAGAGTTTACGTAAAAAAAAAAAAAAACTTGTTGGGGCTTTCGGCTGGATCAGTGGTAGAGCACACACCTCTTGTCTCAGGGTTGTGAATTAGAGCCCCAAGTTGGGCATATAACCTACTTTTTAAAAATGGATAAGGTAAATAAATAACTAAAGATAAATGGGGTCAGATTAAGTGGTAGATATTTGAGCAAAAGAGCAGTGTCCTACATGTTCAATGAAGTGTTATGTCTATCCAAACAACAAACTGGGAAAGCCATGCAGGAATTTTATGAGGTAATCTAGGTCTTTACTGTGATGAGCAGTAGAAGCTTGGAGAGTAAAGGCCAAACAAGATATTGTAGGGAAGATCTAATAATACTATTAAGCTATGGAGGAAGAAAGCATGAAGTGGAAAAGAATAGTGCATTTTTTTAAGCTAAGGAACTTGAAACAATAATGAAATCACTTGCAGAAAAGACATTATTGTAGAGGAGTCAGTTAGGGGAGAAAGGAGATAAAATAATACTTGGAAAATGTGGCATGGTTGGGATAAGAGTATCTAATTTTCAGAGGCCTATAATTTGTTGTAAAACTATAGCTAAAATTTAAGTAAATTACAGAATGAAATTATGGATGTGTGATTCTATCAGAAAAATAAGGCTTATCAAAAGACATGAAATCTTGCCATTTGTGATGACATGGATGGAACTAGAGGGTATTATGCTGAGCAAAATAAGTCAATCAGAGAAAGACAATTATCATATGATCTCCCTGATATGATTAAGTTGAGAGGCAAAGTTGGGGGTTTGAGGGATAGGGAAGGAAAAAATGAAACAAGATGGGATTGGGAGGGAGACAAACCATAAGAGACTCTTAATCTCACAAAACAAACTGAGGGTTGCCAGGGGTAGGGGGGTAGGGAGAGGGTGGTTTGGTTATGGACATTGGGGAAGGTATGTGCTATGGTGAGTGCTGTGAAGTGTGTAAACCTGGTGATTCACAGACCTGTACCCCTGGGGCTAATAATACATTATATGTTAATAAAAAATAAACAATTTAAAAAAAGAAAAATAAGGTTTGAACTTAATATGAGTAACAAAGCAACTATGAGATTTAAATTAATAATTCTGGAATTATGAACCTCAAAAATTTTCAAAAAGCAGCTTTGAATAACAATATGATAACTAAAATATACTGTGAATTTTAACCCACTTATGTATTGGTTTATAGAGTCCCAAACTCTTTACATTAATAAGGATTGATTAAAGTACATATAAGCCACCTTCAAATATTTTAAATTATTGGTTACTGAGGAATAAATATTTTATAAGTCTATAATAGTCAAATCATTGAATTGAATATGATTTGTTTTTAGAATCTATAAGACCAGTGATTAGTCCATAAAATATATTCTGGTAACTGAGTTCTCAAACTCACCAAACTTTTAAAATGCCATTGATAATTTTTAAACTGAGCTGTTCACCTATTGATTACAGTGAAATATTGCTTACAAATAATACTTGTAGGGAAAATCTATTGCATCCAATTGACTGACAGTTAATGGGAAAAAAAAACTTATAAAGACAGATGGGATGTGTTACAATTGTCATAAAAGGCAGAATGAAGTGTAATATGCATGTCTAGACATTTTCCAAGAAGCATACCTGCTATGAAACTCTTCATTCAGGGACTAAGCTGAAGAATAAGGCACTCTTTTGTTCTGCTTTGAGTGCCCCTATGGCAGCTATTACATAGATGTTACTTTAAATATACTGAGAGAAAATATGTGCTAAGCAGACAGTATCCTAGGAAATAACAAAACTGAACCAAAACAAAATTCTTAATACATTTTGAAAATGTATTAAGAAACTATGCTGTTTGAAATCCTGTATCATGATCCTTTATTTCTAGCAATGTTTTATTTTAGTGTTTGAACTCCATGGAAGCCTTTAATTGCCAGTCTAGATATTTAGATTTCACAAATTCATTGAATGTGTAATATGAGTATTTCTACTCATATGAATGAGTATAAATGAATGCAGCCTTTACAATTTTGACAAATATAATTTGGCAGAATCAAATGTATCACTAAAACGTAACCTGACTGTAAGATGTAGTTTAAAACATGATCTTTGTGAAATGCCACATAAAGGAAAGGAACTAGATCAATGCCAAGAAACCAATGGACAAGAACCAGTCAGCACGCCAG